TCTTGTGTGCTGTCCCTGCCTGGGACTGGCTGCTCTTGGGACCCACCAAACCCTGCCTGCCACCACTTGGGGACCTGCAGCATTTCTGCTGCCTGCTGCTACCAGGGATCCTGCAGCAATTTTTAATAATCCATTATAGCTAGGATCTGACTCTACATCCTGAATGTTGGAATTTATATGGATACACATCATTCTTGCTTATACAGTGCTGACTATTGGATCCAGACTTTTGGGTATGTTAAACAAGAACTCTATCAAATGAGTTACACCTCCAAGCCCTAGATTCTTTAATCAGAATCAATTTTACTGGTGGTTGTACATTCCTGTTTATTTTATGACATTGTCTGTCTAAATTCTCTTAGATTGTCCTTGAACTCAGTCTGTAGTGAAGATTGGCCTTGAACTTGTGATCCTTGTGACCTAGACTCCTGAGTAGCAATGATTGCAGGCCTGTGCCCCATAAAGCACGAACTGCTAGATTTAGAGAGAAAACATTTGCTTCTTTTTTAAAACCATAAAGGGGAAAATGTTAAGTGGCAGTGATGTAGACTTCTGAAAGAACTGAGTTCCAAAACGCTCTAGACAAAAGCTTCTCACAGTTTGGTCATCCTATTTGTTGCTAAATCCTGAACCACTTATTATGGGTCATCAAGATAAGGAGGCTCTGCAAGATGGCTCAGTAGATAAAGTTTTTTCACCAAGCCTAACGACCCGAGTTCAATTACTCATTCCCACATGTTGGTAAGAAAGAATTGATTCCTGTAACTTATTTTCTGACCTCCACAAGTGTGCTTTGGCGTGTGGGTGTCCCCCTTGAAAGAATAACTAAATGCAATGAAATAATCTAAGAAAAGAAGCTATAGAGCTTGCCCCTGAGCAGGTATTAAAGATGTCAACAACTATTACATTGTTCAGCTGGAAGTTTTGATAGCAAAATTTTCTCAATGAAGGAATCAGCACATTGATTTAACTTCTGGTGAAAACACTTCATCTTATCCAGGATTAGCACTCTAAGAAACACTGAGGAGGGCTAGGTGTGAGATACTTGTTCCTTTATCTCCATATGAACAACCAGGAAGTTGTAAATTAAGGAGGAAATGCAATAGACTTTTTCAAAGGTACAGCTGCTTCTGCTTTGGATTGAGTAGCCATCATCATTACTAGTTTTCTGTAATATGACATGTGCAGCTTTGCTAGAGGGTTTCTAAATTCAAGATAGACAGTCTGAAGTAAATAATGTCTGAGAAGTGATGGCAGTAAAGAAGACCATGTCTGTGAGAAAGCCTTGGCCACTATTGCTAGGAGACTTCTTAATGTGCCAGAGTTTGTTGACTCCCCATGGTAGCCCTTAGCCATTGGGAGGAGTGGATGGGGGGGGGGCTGCTGGGAGAGGGAGGAGGGGTGCAGGGAGAGCTGTGCTTGGAATGTAGAATGAAATTTAAAAAATAAATTCAAAAAAGCCTTGAAGCCGGGCGGTGGTGGCGCACGCCTTTAATCCCAGCACTCGGGAGGCAGAGGCAGGCGGATCTCTGGGAGTTCGAGGCCAGCCTGGTCTACAAGAGCTAGTTCCGGGATAGGCACCAAAGCTACAGAGAAACCCTGTCTCGAAAAAACCAAAAAAAAAAAAACCCTTGATCATAATATATCTGTCACCGCATAAGGCAGTGGCTATGAGTGTAACCTCCCCCTGAGGAATCTGATGTGCTCCCATGCTGCTGAACTGTTCTTCTCCAGAAAGCTTAGAATATAGTTTTTATAGACACAAGTAACCATCTTGACAGGTCCTGCATTGCTAGGACTTGATCTGTCCTGGGAGGGGCATTGGGGAAAGAAGAAATGACAGATACACTAACAAGCACATATATAGAAAAGCTGGGACCAGGTGGAATGTGCACCTCTGACGGAGGATACCTGACTATTCAACAATCCAGAACATCAGCATGTTTATTATGCACAACATGGGAGGAGAAATTAGCTGGTTTCCATAGGAGAACAGTCTCAGGTTGCAGTCGTTGGAGAGGAGGAAGCTGCAGTAGTTAGTTTTTGCAGACTAGTCAATCATTCAGAAACACTTATACTTGCACATACTGTCCACTCTCAAACTCAGACCAGAGGAAAGCTTTGCCATCCCTCTGAGCATCACCCTGGGAAGGCTTTGGGCACTATCATAGAGACTTTGGATTCCTTGAGGTGCTCAAGTCAAACAGTACATGCACATTCACTCAGGATTCCATCTGCTCTTTACACATTTGCTCAAGGCTTCCTTGGATCCCTATGCAGTCCCTACTACCATTTCACAGAAAGGAAAAGTATCGTTGGAAGCATTTGCTTTGGAATGATCTCTTAAGAAATGGTATCACTCAATCACCTTTTAAGGTTTTTGCTTCTGGTCTAACAACTAGGAGTCCTGAGATCTTTTTTGTTGGTTTCCAGAAACAACGCCCAAAGACAGCATCTAAGTAGTTAGCAAGGAGCTGTGTTGATTCTGATTTTTCAAATTCATTCTGTATAACACATAAATTGATAAAACCACACTGCCCTACTGACTGATAGTAACTCATTGATTCATTCATTTATCAGGCATGCAATACCAAATGGTATAGTTCATTGATCTTAAGGTACAGATTTCTTTTCAGATTTTAACATCTCTGAAGTAACAGTGTCTTTAAATTAACAACATCCTTCTCAGTCAAGGTCCTAGTGGGAAACACAACAGACTGAAATGGGAATTAAAGAAGGCATATTGAAAGGATTATTTTGCAAGGATGTGGGCATAAGAAAACGAACTCAATAAGAGGTTTGGGAGCATTCCAAGCCAGCAGCACCAAGAAACATCTATTGCAGGCCTAAAGGGCAAGAAGAGGGCATGATTGATTGTGGGAAGCTAAAAAGAACTGTGTGTATAGATTCAGAAGTCATAGAGAACAGCAGTAGAGAAGCACAATCTTTGGGCCAGTAGGAAGAAAGCACTGGAAATAAAAGCCTAACATTGCTGCTCCTGTTCTCTGAGCTCCTGCTATTGGCTGAAACTGTTCCAAACCAACCAAAACCCAGAGGGTAAAGGAGCAAAGCACAAAAGTCTGGGAAGCTTTAGAGAGTGGATGTGGTGGGACAAACCAAACTACCCAACACAGTTCTTCCTTTGAACCCTTCACACCTACTCTACTTTTTTGTTCTTTTAGTATTTCTATCAATCAATCTGCTGTGGGCTCAAAAGGAAAATATTCTGATGTACTGATACACTGCAGGGCAATGGCAGATAACAATAATGAACTTTACATTTTAAAATGCTGGAAGAAAATACTTTGAAAGTTTGTGGCATCTTTTTTTTTTGTCCAAATAAAATCTCATTCCTCAGGACAGGAATCCCATAATTTCACCATCATGTACTCCAAGACTCAGCAGACTACAGCCCACAGGCTGGCCATCTGATTTTGCTAGGAAACTTTTAGTTGAGACACAGTCACACACGTTCTTTCACATATTGTTTATAGCTCTTTTCATGCTAGAGCAGCAGAGAGGAGTCATTGTGACGAAGAGCATATGGTTCATGAAGTTCAATTTAACATCTTTCCCTTTAAAAAAAATGTTTAGTCTCACAACTACTCTCAGAGAAGGGCAATATCAGTTTGTCATATTCCCATATGAGCTCTAAAACTTTATCTACCACAGTTTTTCTCCATACAATATAGCGAGGAGACAATCCATTTGGGGAGAAGAAGCTAATTAAAGTAAAATTTATGTGCTTCAGTCTCATTTCTGTGACTAGTCATGAGATGAAAGTTCATATGTCATTTAGATTCTCTTTGAATCTTTCCCAGCACTTCAGCTACATTGATCGCTTTACCCAGATGATGAATCCAACCTTTCATTTCTAGAATGTATGCTTCTTAGTGGATCTGTTTTGATTGTTTGCTTGGAGTTTCCACTGGTCAGAATTATAGATCACAGTGCTAGGAAGAGTTATCCTTAGACAACCCCCTGGCCTGGTTACCCATTTCTCCTTGTATCCCTGTGTGTGAACAACCTAATCTCCTTTCAATAGCCACTCTCCCATTCTTTACCCAGATCAACTGAGTGGCATGTATTCAGGACACATAGGCTCACTGAAGTCAAGCTTATGGAAATAAGTAAAGGACATTTCTTTAGTAGTCAATTAGGTTTAAAAATAAGAGGAGTCATTCACAGCTCTACATCATGGTCCTTCACCCATGCTTTTTGGCGTTCTGAGAGACAATGCCATATATATATGGCACATATATGGTAAACACATAAATACACAGATATGGTGTACATGCATATATATATATACACACACACAAACACATATATGTGTCTCTTGTTTAAGGTACACACTGTATCATGAAGTTATTTCTTCATCCTCAGTAAATGTTTATCAGTTGTTTTAGATACTGAGCTTTGAGAAAGACATCAAAGCAACTATTTTGGAATGATGTGGTAAGACTAATAAATTTCATAACATGAGCCCACAGGTGCATATTCTTCATCATAAAATGAATTTCTTGGCCAAAGGCATGTAAGGTGTTCTTTGAGTCTAAGTATGTGGTACAGTCACACTATAGGAAAATAACATCTCTCTACTTTCCAAACTAAGGGCTGCATTAGTCCTATTATTTTTGTTAAGACCTTGATTATTTTTGTACATGAGATCACAGGTTAAGCTTTAATTTATTGAGGATAAGACAAAATGAGTGTGAATGCCAGGGTCCAGCTGGAGGAGATAAGTTAGGAAAAAACCAAAGCAGGGGGCAGATGTAATACTAAGCAGGGATAAGAATTGTCCAGCACCACTTTACCTTCAAAATGGAAACGTCATGTTTATCTATTCCATGTCAGCTCAGCAAATGTTCATGTCTTCAAAGACAAATAAGTATAAGAACAGTAAGACTAGATGGCACATAATCAGTCTTCAAGGACATACAATCCATCTTCCAGAACTCAGATGACTTGGAAGACACAATGTTAGAGATGTTGGAAAGTGAATTTAATGAACAATACATTATCATTTGCATAATGTACAAGATAGCATACAGCTTTAGTCTAGCATAAGAACTCCATTAAGAAGCTTACAAACAAACATATTCAACATTTAAATAGGATCATTACTAATTTTGTGCTATACATGTTAAGGTAAGCCAATAGGAACTTTGTAGCCAACAATAACAAAATAGACAAAGGAGCGCCAACTTATCATCTATTGAGATTAAAACATTGATTCTATACTTTGATTGTCTTATACTTAAAAGGAAACTTAAATACATATAAATATATATTATAATTCAAATTTTGTGAAGAGCATTGATATCATATTAAGTGCACTTACAACAGGAAACATTAAAGTATCACATCACAAAAAGACAGGAAAGAAACTTAAATGCATATTGCTAAGCAAAAGAAACAAGTCTACAAGGAGTCTTTACTGTGTTTATGCATTTATCAGGGCAGGCAATACTCTAAAACACAAAGCATGGGCCTTGTTATAAAGCAGTACCTTAAGTTTAAAATAATGCCCAAATATTGTCTCATCAGTTCTAAAGAATGTGCCACACTGATAGAAGGGGGCAACTAGAGAAACTATGGAAATGGACAGTATATATTAAAATGCTCTGTAACTTCCACACAGCTGTTCTGTAAACCCAAATTTTCTCTAAGAACTAAAATCTACTAAATATAAACAGGCAAAATAGGTCAACTTTTGACCAGGAAAAAATTTGGAAGGGTACCTTGGGAAGCGAATGAACATGTGGATAGATGGTTCAGTCTGTAACAAAATTGAGAAAACCGCCTTTTTTTATTTTTCCTCAAGTGCAGGTCTGACTCTGGCCCAGTGATTCAAAGATGTTCATGAGACATTGAAAATGTGCCTTTCTTCTGAAATCCACTAAACCCGCAAACTCATCTATAGGTGCCAGAGAAAATCTTGGCTTGCTCATCAGTACAATGCGTACTCCAGGAATGGGAGACCCAGTGCATTCACAGAACTGATGAAGTGATGTATTTCTCAGATCAATTGAATTTAATGTTGATGCTGAAGACTGAACCCAGGGTCTCACACATGTGAGGCAAGGGCTCTAACACGGAGCTCCAGCTCATGTCTTAAAAAAAATTTTTTTTGAGACAATGCCTTCCTAAGTTATCCAAGCTGGCCCCAAACTTGTGATCCTCCTGCCATAGCATCCTGAGTAGATAGGGTTGCAATTGTGCCCCATCACTTTATGGCCTTGGTATCCTCCTTAAATATTTGCCTGACATTTATATTGAGGCACACTTTACTGATGGAAGAGATACAAAGGAATCCCTGAAGGAAGGCAAGCCCCTCTTTCTCCTTTATTCCTAGCAATTTATGTCTGGACCAAACTGGTAAATCATAGTCATCAAAACAACCCCATTGTCCTACAACTGTCCTTAGAAAGCAATTTACTACTCATGAATTGCTCTTCAGGGACAGGATCTCTGCCTCATCTATATACTAAAGCAGCTGCTATAGGTTTTTTTTTTCTGTTAATACCATATTCTTCGTCAGAGCAGTTCTCTACTTCATTATACTTTCAGTAATGCTTGTTACCTCTTGGGACCTTGGAAAGCTGCCAGGGTACCTTGCTCTTCACATGGCTGTGATAGTTCGTATGTTTTATGAGTAGTCTTGTTAATATGGGTTCTGAGGTTCCAGAAAATAATTTAATTGAATAATGATTTTTCCAGAAACCTATATGCAAAAAAGCAGCAAAGGGATCTCCTAAACCTCTGTGAGTACTCCATCAACCTGAGGAGCACCAGAAAGAGTGAAAAAAAGTCTAGATGTCCCTTTCTCTATGTCAACTGGGAATAATCTCTCTTTTAAAATATCCATTTACGAAGAGAAGACACAGTCACACTTCTCACTCTTACTCTCAACTATACAGTCCAACTCTGAGTGACAGACACGACTGCTTTTGATGGAATGACTTCCTTTCTTAGTTGTTTCTAAAAGAGAATGAAGGAAATTGAAGTGTTATGGTTCATCAATTCCTAGGCATTTTCACAAACAAGTGTGAACTCTCTGATGCCCAAATAAAATCTCGGTAAGTAAAAAATTCAGTGGCAAGTATAATAGGATTCCTGTTATTGGCATGAGTGTATTAACAGCAGAGATGACACACATCTGGTTCTCTGACCTCCCAGCGGAGTCTACTGACTTACACTTTACTGTAATTGTGTGCATTCATTTCAGCCTCATTTAGAGAAAAAGGAAAACATAGACAGGTTTCTTCTTGTGTTAAAACATTGGATAAAAATATGAGCATTTTCACCTTCCTAGACCTGGATGGAGGGGGGAGGACCTTGGACTCCCCACAGGGCAGGGAACCCTGACTGTTCTTAGGACTGCAGAGGGAGTGGGAAGGGGAGTGGGAGGTAAATGGGAGGATTGGAGGAGGTGGAAATTTTTAATAAATTAAAAAAAGAAAATATATGAGCATTTGGCACTTACAGGCTATATACTAAATAGAAAAATGCCAACATTCTCTCCCTTCTTCAATTTTCATGCAGATATCTTAATAATCATCAGCGTTATACCTATAACAGTGATGAAGAATCAGAAATCTTAATCCAGGGGAAAACAGCCTGCAAATCACAGCTGTGCAAACTAGAATAAAAGCCCTCCCTACAGGCTTACGAATGATAATCCAGTTACACTCTTATATAATCTTAAGGGTATTTTTTGTTACTTGTAGTTGAAAATAGACTGAGTGTTGCAAGCTGATCTCTCTTCACCATGTCCTGGATACAGCAGCTAGGGGGATGCTGTTGAAACACATTCTAGTTTACCATTCTTTGGCTCAGAACTCTCAGTAGTTCCCATTTCATTCAGCCAATGACCCAAATCCCTGGTTAAGACATGCAAGTCCCTATCCACCCTTGCTCTATCTCCTCCTTCCCCTCGCACTTCGAAAGAGTAGCTTTAAAAACTGCTTACTTATGTAATGCTCTGTGGAGCTATTTTGTTTTTCTTTGATCACCTATTCTCAGCCAAGCACTGGGGATACTGCTATGAAAATGTATTGCACCTGCCCTTATGAATCTTAAGTGAAGAGACAGTACACATGGGCATGAAAAGTTTCATTACATGAATAATTTAATGTAATTGTGATGGGTGCCATGGAGGGGAAATGAAAGCAAGTTTCTGTGGCCTAGCTTAGCACACGATCAGGAAGGTTTTCCTGAGGAAGTAGCAGTTAAGACCTGGAAGATTTATGGGGATTAGATTAATGAGAACAAAAAAAAAAAGTCCACAAGGTGGCTTAAGAGAAAGGGAGGATGGGGATGGGGAGGGGAGGCACAGCTTGGGATATGCTAGAGAAAAGGCAGTGGTCTTCATATTCTGGACCACATACAATAATTTGTATTTTATTTTCAGGTCAACTGTGAAGATGGAAAGAGAGGAGTCCACAGAGCTGTTCTCTGACCTCCACATGTACATTCAACACATGCATCACAGATACACACAATAAATAATAATAAGCAATTCAAAATGATTAAAGCTAGGAGACTACTGAAATAGTCATGGAAAGCAGTGATGTTAGTTCGGCTTTGGGTAATATCACAGAGACGAGGAAACACAAGAAGTAGGCTCAATATGATTTCTTGACTTATTTTGCTTCAGGGCAAAAAAGGAGCAAGAAATACATGTATCTACTTCTGTAGGGAAGATGTATGAAAGTGGAGGGCTGAGTAAAATATATATCTCATTTTGAATTTCAAAGTGTTTTTAAAAAGAAAAGATTGCTTGGAGAAGCCATTGAGCACAGATGTTTTACCCATATTTCTTGTGGCTTCTGCTAATACCAGCTGAACATATTCAGTGGACTGCTATGAAGCAGTACTCTACAGGCATAGAAAAGCCTGACACTGACATGTGGAAGTGGTGGACAAGGCTCTTCATAGTTTTTAAGCTCTTGAATTCTATGCCGTTCATAGAATATTTTCCTTCTGACATAGGCTCTTGTTGTAGTCTAGGCTGATGTTGAACTTGTGGTCCTCCTGAATTAGTCTCCCAGATGCTAGGATTCCAGCTATCTACCAACACATCCCACTTATATTTTAAACTGTTGTTTTGTATGTACATTTAGAAAAAGAGAATGATCTTAAGGTGTTTGCTTTTGTTTCCAGGAGCAACGAGAGTGGGTTTCTGATCTTTTTTTGTATATGTGGGGTTTGTTTTATAGAAATATCCAGTTAGACACAGGATATCATGAAACCATTGTACAGAGAATTGCTTTGAATTTGACCTGACACGAAGATTCATGCTTTTCTTGAGTTTAAGTTGTAAATTTAAAAATCATTTAGTCACATTTTCTTAGTGAATAAATCTACTTTGTTGTATACACTCCAGAGACAGGCTTCACCGTCATCAGCTTCTCACATCCCCTAAATGTCACTGAATAGTGTTTGAGTCCCATCACATTTGAAGACAATTTATTTTCCAATGTGGGAAATTATACTGATGTTCTATTTATGATTTAATAAATAAAGCTTGTCTGAAGATCAGAAAAGCAAAACAACCAAGCCACTACCTCTTACCTCTACTAAAGTTGGGCAACTGCAGACTGAGCCCTGAGCCTGTCTCCTCCCATCTTATTTTCCCCTCTAGTGCTGGGATTAAAGGTGTGAGTTACCACCATCTGGTTCTGTATTGATCTTGTGTAGCCCAGGGTGGCCTTGAACTCACAGAGATCCATTTGCCTCTGTCTTCCAAATCGTGAGATTAAAAGTGTGTGACACCACTGTCTGGCTTCCAGTGGCTTATTTTTACCTTCTGATCTTCACCTTGCACCCCAATATCTGTCTCTGGGTTTTTATTATTCATGATCCAGGAAATAGTACCAAGCATATAGGTTTTTCCTGCTTTTGAGAAGGACAGAATAATGGTGTGTAAATTCTTAAGAAGTACTGTATTTATTGAGCTATGATAGGTGAAGTTTTCTACAGATGGTCTCTTTTTGAATAATGCTTAAATGGTTTGTGTGTTTCCTTACTATGAAGAATATTAAATAGATTCTTAAATTAGTCTTCAAATTTCAAAAACATACCTATAAACTTGCAACTACTCTGTGGAATGAATCTGAACATGGTTTTAGTTCTACTACTAAAATTCATTTGCTATATTTTAAAGGGTTTGCATGTTTACATGTATTCAAATGAAGAAATGAGCTATGGGGGATTGAATCTGACTCCATAACATCTGGAGCATACATATTTTGGTACATGAGGTGCCATTGAGATAAGCCCAGGATAGCTTAAAATTCTCTACGTAGCCAAGGCATACCTTGGGCTCCTGATCCTCCCACCTCTACCTTCAAAGTGCTGGAATTACAAGTGTAACCCACCACACCTGGCATAGACTATGTATGTTTATGCTTACATAATCAAACCATGATCTACTTTCTTTGACATGTCATCTTCTATCCACCTTGATAAGCATAGAGTCACGTCAAAGTTGCCTAGGAACTGTCCAGATTCAGTCACAGCCTCTACACGACCGTAGACAAATTATTTCAGTTCTCTGGACTGCAAGGTTGTAACCCACAAAATAAAGAACCAGACTTGGCATCCTTTCTGGATTTACCTGACTTTGCTTCTAAATTTGGTAGCTTAGGCACATAAATGACAAGACGTAGAGTACATTCAACTACTTGTCTCTCTTTCACCATCCTTTCTTGAACCTTCACTCTTGTCATTGGGCAAGGCATATTTCCTTTTCTATTGATTTTGGTATTAGCAATATGGCTTCCTTTTGACCAATGAGGTACAAGACACTTATGTGCTTGAGCAGTGGGACTTATCCAAGTACACCTCTGCTATCACCATACTCAGGCTATTCTTTTGGTCTAATGAGGATTGAGAAATAAGTACCTGATTTAGACCCTCGGGCTTATAAGGAAAAAACAGAGTTCTCCTAGCCAACCTTCATAGACACCCAAAAAATTGATTTTCATTTTAAGTCATTGATTTTTGGGGTGGTTTGTTACTTGTCATTGTAATAGCTTAAGAAAGCAGTAATTACTTGGGTAAAGAGAAAATGAAAGAGAGAACATGGAGTTCCTAGCTCTTTCCTATAGCAGCACAGCAAACAGTGGAGTATCTCCCTTTTCACTTAACTAGTCTCACTAGTAAACAAAATGTAAAGATAAGAATTAATTGCTTATTTCTTATTTCCTTATACTTAATGGCTTTTAATATTTGATGAAATAATTTTTGTAACAGAGTTCTCTAATTCCTAGTTTATCAACAAGATGGTCCTACATTCTAATTTCTCTACACACATTCCAGTTTGTGTCTGCTTTTGTATTTTGTTTTTTTTTTGTTTTTTCTTTTGTTTTTTTAGTGTGAGTGTGTATAATCATGGAGCTCTCTTCACTTTCAAAAGGAGCCTGACTTCTCCCAAACCACCCCTAGCATGTCTTCTTTGCATTACAGGCAATCTGCTGAGAAGACAAAGATCTCTCTCTTTGTTAGTCTCTAAGCAATCTACCTTCTTGGTGTTTCCTTCTTTTCTCAAACTGAAGAAAACTTAAGTAACTTGGTTGGAAAAGAGTTGAGGAGCCCAGCAATATTTTCCAGTAAGCTCTTGTCATTGCGGTCAGTATAAAGCCCATGAGCCATTGCACAGTCTGCTTGTTGGCAAGATGGTGGGGTCCACTTCCTATCGTCTAATCAGGGAAACCTGAGTGGGGGAACATATAGAAGGATATGCTTTTCAGACAATCAGCAAGATCCTAGATGTTCACAACACTGACATATCTCCTCTCATGTCCTAAGAGGTGAGAAATAACAGGGCAACATAATTCAAGGGCCCAGTGTTTGCTTAGAGAAAACAGTAGGCAACCAGAGATGTAGTTCTTGGAGAACTGATCCCTTCAGAGCCTCCATTTTGCCATGCTGGATCGCAGCATGAGAATGCCCTCTACAGATACCCCAGGGCTGTCAATCATCCTTTGCCAAAGGCGTTGTTCCTCTCCTCGAGAGTCCATCCAGTACACATTCTTCCCATGACTGACACCTGAAGAAGAGAAAAAGGGGCACAACATTTCACACAGGGGCTGGAGCTTCTAGAAGGCAAGTAACAATCTCTGAGGACCTCTTCTTGGTTCCCATATCTAGTGAGAGGTGTTAAAACGAGTCAGTCTTTTGAAGCCTGCATTATTTCCTTCTGTTTAGGTTGAACAGAGGAACCAGAGTGGCCCCTGGTGACTCATATTCTCCTGACTTTGATAGAACCAACTCATCAAAACCAAGTCAATGTGAGTTCACAATATGCCCTGAGATATGAAGATCTCTATTTCAAACACAGCTACTCTCTGACCCTGGAGGTTTCAATTTTACTGACACATGTATTCCCTGATCTCCTTAATTTTTTTTTTTTTGGTTTTTCGAGATCCTTAATTTATAAAAAAAAAAGTGTCATATAAATGGGGACTTTCTCAACCAAAATGTTGACATGGCACATGGCTGGCCTAAGATATGGGGTAAAGAGACTTGGGGTCTTCCAGTGTTAGTTCATGTGCACTTCTAGTGTTAAAGCATTTGACCACCGGGATGTCTCCCTACCTAGTTCACACCTTGTTATATTTTATGACGTGAGTTATTTGTTTTCATTCTGTGTTTAGTATCCTATCAACGTGACACACTCAGGTCATCGGGAATGCATCCATCTGATTGGCCTGTGGACAAGTCTGTGGGGGCAGTTTCTTGATTGTTGATTGATGTGGGAGGAAACAGCTTGCCCCCTTAGGCAGGTGGTCCTGGCTTATATTAAAAATATCAGGCTTAGCAATCAAGTAAGCAGGATTCCTCTGTGGTTCTGCTTCAGTTCTGCTTCAATGTTCCTACCTTGACTTCCTACCCTGATTCACCTTCATGATGAAGTAGGCACTAAAGTGAAATAAACCCCTTTTCCCCAAGTTGCTTCACATTGTTATCTTTATCATAGCAATAGAAAGCAAACTAAGAACACATTGCTTGATCATTGTTGAAGTACTAGACACAAGTGAAAGGAAGATGAAGTAAAGACAACCTTATGAGGCCTTCCTCTCCTGTCTTGATTTTCATTTAAGCAAAACCTTAAGACCCAAAAAAGTACTTGAAATTCCCTTATATGAATGTATTGAAGATTTTTCTATGAAAGGATCAAATATAACATTTCTTCAACTTTAAGCCTAAGAATACAAAGTTGTTACAGAAACACATTTTAACAGTGATCAGATCTCCATCTAAAAGAATGAGGCACCTGGGCTATTTCAGGAGCTAGTTGTAGCTCACACTACATAAAAATCTACAGCATATCACACCTGGAGTAATCACTGTTGCCCATGCCCAGTCATACACCAGCTCTAGTTCTCTCAATTCCTTACCGCTTCCAGAATTTAAACGAACACCTCCTAGAAAGATGTTGCTGGAAAAGGCTTCCTTGTCCCAGATGGTGAGTTCTAGGCAAACATTCTTTATATCCTGAGGATACAGGCCGCTGAATATGAATGTATGATTCCATTGAGGGTTAATACTCTTTTTGACAACCGCCGTTTTGTGCTTGGTGGCTTTGTTATCATCAGGAAGCAGGTAGCTGCAGAAGGAAACACAGTTACATTGGTGGGAAAGTAAAAATGCAACCTTTGAGTTGTCATTTGGATCTCCTACAATTCTGTGTAACTGTATGTGACTACAATATGCATTCTTGATGTTCTCTCCCTGATATCTTATTTGGAGAGATGTCTAGTAAATACATTTACAATAGTAAAATGCCCTTCCTCCATTTTTGATTACAATTTTTGTCTTTTCAAACCCTTCCAAATATTTGGTTCTCCATCTGGTAAAGAAAAGACCCCTGGTGGTAGCCACTATTGTTTGACTTTGTATGTTTTTGTTTGTTTGTATGTATCTGTAAACTGATTTGCAGCTAAGGTGGATAATTCCTGAATGTTTTCAGCTTCTTACCCGTCTTACATGAGTTTACTCCCTCATGTTCAGAGTACCTAGAGTTACTGAGGACTGAAGGCTAACCCAAGCAGTGGGTTTTAGAAAAGGCCGATGAGTTCTGCAGTTCTTCAAGGGATACTCCTAAAGAACATTACATGGAGTTCTTGCTGCTTTCTTTCCCAGTGGAACTGAACCCTACAGCGATAACCTTTCCATTAACATAACTTTTAAAACTGCTTCCCTCTGTCTTTTGTTTCATGGTCTACACTCTTTCACTGATGTTTCCTGGAAGCCCTTCTCTGATAGACTACCTGTGCCCTAGGTCTTCTCTACTGTGTTCAAACTCTAAGTCTCAAAAACCTTTGTGCCTTCAAAACACATGGTTTGGGGAAGAAAATGAGTGTAGATGGAATCAGTACATAAAACAATTATGAAAAATACAAGTAAATGGCCCAGGGATAAAGAAGATAATTGAGTCATGTTGTATTTCATTTACTATATTGGTCAGCATGAGTAAGTAGGACAATGACAAAGTGCTTGCTGAGCAAGGACCTGAGTTTGATCCTGGCACTACCACCAAAAAGGGGAAAAAATTAATAAATTAATCAGCGAACACTGTTATTTCTCAATCTCCATTCTACGCTTATTCTCTTTTAAAATTCCTAGTTTTTATTGTTACCATCTTACATTTTATCTTATTTCAATTTTTGTATCCATCATTAAAAGAAAACCTTGGTTCTAAATTTGAACACATGTTTCCCCAGAATAAAGACCATAAAGCTGTCTTACAATTCACATAGCTACAGACCTAGGTTCTGGTCAATAGAATACAAGTACCTCTATGAAAAAGTTACAGGAAGCTCCCTATAAGCTTGGATTTGCATAGGATGGCTGAACTCTGTATAACTAGGTATCTTGGTCCATGGAGAAGATACGATAATGATATAGAAAAACTCCTTTGTCCCTGATAAACATGATATTTCCACATCTATCCTAGATAAGTTACCTTCAATCACTGTTTCAATGTAAGAGAAAGTGGTTTTTAATTTTTTTAATATTTATTTTGAATGTGCATAAATATGTATGAGAGCAAGCCATGACATAGATGTGGAAGACCAAGGTTAACCTGTGAGAGTCAGTTATCATGACCAAGAGGATTCCAGCTATCAAAATTGGCTTATTAGGTTTGGTGGCAGGCCCATTTCCCATTATTTGCCGAACCATCTTGTGGGCCCTAATGTCTTTCTTAAGTCACAAATATTTCAGTTCATAAGTAGAGAATATGAAATTATGTAATTTACATATTTTATAACATTACCTATGTATCTGTTCTTGCTTGCTCTCTGGCTCTTTGAAATTATATATCAGTTTTTTCTTTAAGGGTATTTATTTTTATGTATATGAAGGTTTTCCCTACATGTATGTTTATGTACCATGTGCAAGCAATGCCTATGAAGACCAGAAGATAGCATCAGATCTCCTGAGTCTGGAGTTAGAGATGGCTGCGAGCTGCCATGTGGGTGTTGGGAATTGAAATTGGGTCCTCTACAAGAGCAGCCAGTGCTCTTTACTACTGAACCATTTCTCCAACTCCTTGGATAATTTTTAAATTGGCTTAATATTTAAGTATTCACTGAAAAGTTAGTGCTTAAAAAATAGGATGAATTACTGTTCTTTATCATTTGTCCTTCATAAATTCTCAACAAGAGCATGTAAAAGCTGTTCCAGACAATATTAACTCATGCCTGGAAGGGCATGTTAGAGCCACAGGCCAGGGACAATATTTTTACCATACAAGACAGTAAGGAGCAGAGTCCTAAACTGGATGCGGGGCTTCCTAAGTTGGACTGTAGCAGTATGACTCAAAGACAGTGTGTCTTTTATGCTAAAGAACACAATTCAACAATGGGGAAACCCTAGTCATCTTACTCTCATCAATATATGGTTTACTGAACTTAAAACATATAAGAATAAAGGTATGACTTATTTCCTGTGGGAAAATACACCCATGGGAGGCCTACCCCTTTCTGAATGGAGACGGAGGAGGAGTGGATAGGGTAGATGGTAAGATGGTAGGCAGGAGATGGTGAACAGGAAGAGAAGAGAAAGGGGGAACTGTGGTCAGTATATAAAATGAATAAAATTTTAAATAAAATTTAAAAAAAAGATTGTACAAAAAAGCAGGATCTCATCCTCTGTCCCCTGCTGGTCTGGCACTGCTACATGTATCCCAGGATGGACACAAACTTGTGATCTTCCTGACTCAGGGTCCACAGTACCAGTATTTCAGGCACTGCTATCAGGCCTGGATCACTTTTCAAAGAGGCAACATCTCTGTCAAAGATTCATCCCATGGCTTGGCATCATGGGAACTGGCTTTACTTCATGGTTCTCTGTGAGGTCAGCTATCATATCTATTTTTCAAAGATCAGCATCTAATTCGTGGTACATATACATCTGAGTGTTTGCTTGAATGAATGGAAAAATATTCCTTTAGCCCAGCTTCTTCTAATTACACGAGAAAAGTCTACAATAGTCAGAAACTAGACTATTTGCTATTTGGAAGGCCTAGAACGAGCAAGAATATTCATTTAAATGGTAGTATTCCCTCAAGAAAATGTCATTTGCTCCACATGGAAATAAATGTATATCAAGTAGTCCTGGAGCCTGCCTCAAACACTCTTTAGGGAAGATGCTGAAATTTTTCTGCATTTTACAATTTTCCCCAACAGAGCAAACCAGCAAGTATTTAGTATTTTTGTTGGTGTACCAAATGATAACAAAACAAAAATAAAAGTAAATTATACATAGAACATCATATTTTCTTCTCTTTTTAGAAAGGAATCTCCTTGGGCAGTCAGGGTGAGAGCGATCCTCACAGTGGCCCTCCAGAAATCTGCTGGAGACACAGTGAGAGCCAGAACAGCAACTCTGTCCCACACTCACATTGCTTTAGATGAAAGAGCAAACACGTAAGGGTAGCTTTTCCAACGTGCATGCAATAAGCAGAACGTGGGCCTTTCACAACTACCATTGTCTACTGGATCATAGCTCCTTTCAGTACCCAGGAAGTGTCATGGGCGATGAGCTAGAGCAAAATTACCCCTTCACGAAGCTATCAGAAGTGCCTCCCGATTTGGCTGCTGTCAGATTCTTTGCCTCTTTGATGAACACTTCAAGTATTCCCCCAGAGATGACAGATGACTCTTTCTTCTTTCCCTTTTTAAAGATCTTCTTTCCTGCACGAACCAGCAAAGAGGAGGTGGAAGTGGAGGAGATCGGAGATTCTACTTCATAATTTACCAAGAACATCTACAAAGAGCTACTTCATTTTCTGACAATCAAGCCTTTTTGTCATATGTATGTGTTTGTATACATATACAGACATACACACACACAAAGCTTCTGTAAAGGAAAAATGCAACGATTCTAAAGGAATAGAATAATGGAAAACATCCTGCCAGCACCATCATCTTATTCTATTGCGAAGGCCAGACCCAAGTCCCAGAGCTGCAAGAGAGACATTTCTATGACTTGGATATATTAACCTTACTTCCAAAGGGTCTATTCAATAATCCCCTTTTTATAAATTGTCAGCTTCAGGAAGGGTCAGGTTTAGAGGGTGCAACCTAGAGTCAGTTACATTTTGTGGTTGGGAGAAAACCTTGTCACTTTTAATATTTATTTTGATGTAATAGACTAAACATGAGCAATAACCACTACATGACTGCCACCTTTACATATATGAACCTATTTAATCCTCACAACCCTCTTAAATTTTTTTCTTTTTTCAGAGATTATACTATAATTCTATCATTTCCCCTATTCTTTCTTCCCTCCAAACTCCAAAATGTATTCTTCCATTGCTCTCTTTCAAATTAATGGTCTCTTTTTTCATTGGCTGTTATTACGTGCATATATGTACATACATATTTATTCCTAACTATTACCTGCTCAATCTGAATAATGTTATTTGTATGTGTATTTTCAGGACTGACCATATTGCATTGCCAAATTAGATGGGAAAACAACATGGGGTCTCAACCCGCCACAAAGAACTATGGACAAGTGAAGTGAGGAAACTCAGACCAAGAGCTGAGTTCCTTTCACGGGGAAGCCCTGAAAATGGTGACCATGAATGGAAAGAAAAAGGAAGCTGCCTAAGACACTGATGAAAGGAGGAAGAAAAGGAAAATTTCAAATAGATTTCTTCTGGATTCCCCTTTGTTTTCTATATTTTATGCCAGATATTTCTTTTTTAGACTCCCTGAGTAGCTGTGAATGAGTCCATAGAACAGCTTCCTAGAAATCCCCTCACACAACACATCTCTCCCCCTGGGGAAAGATCGTGTATCTCTTGGACTGACAGTAAATAATCTCCCTATCAGGGCTGGCTTATAAGTATGGATTTTTGTCCTGTACTTTTCTTCTCCACATATGTTATAGCATGTACTTCTTAACTCTCAAAAGATCCCAAACCCTATTTTTATTATACTACATATGTAACACAGTCCATCCAAACCCTAATATCTACAATGTGACAGATAAGAGGTATTGATTTTAACCCTACCTTGAGGTTGTTCTACTTGGAATATAGGGCTCTCCTCTGGAGGAATGTATCGTAAGACAACCGTTAGCTCTCCTTTGTATTGAAGGCCAATATCAGGAGCCAACTCCACCTAGTCAAGGGGAGATAAGTGAAAAGGACGTTAGAATACTGGACATCATCTTCTTAAATGAAATACAGAATATTTAGAAAGACAAATACTTCATGTTTTCTCTCACATTTGTAATAGAAGGAGTACATATTTCCTTAGATATTATTTCATCAGGAGACCTGACTCCCCTATGGGGAGGACCCAACTAAGACTCCTAGCAATAGTGAACAAAGAGCCTGAACTGGGCATCTCCTGTGACCAGATCGGTGCTGGGCCCAGTTGTCATCAGAGAGGTGTCACCCAGCAGATGATGGAGGCAGATGCAGAAACCTACAGACAAACATTAGGCAGAGTTTGGGAATCCTGCAGAGATGGAAGAGGAGAAAGGAATGCAGGAGTCTGATGGGTCAAGGACACTACAAGAAAACTCACAGAATCAACTAACCTGGGCTTATAGGGACTCACAGAATCTAAACCAACAACCAGGTAGCCTCCATGAGACTGACATAGACACTCGGCATATATGTTACAGTTATATAGCTTGGCCCTCTTAGGGGACTTCTAACAGTGGGAGCAAGAGATGTCTCCAACTCTTTTACTGACTTTTGGGACCCCGTTTCTTTCTTTTACTTTTTTTTTACATTTAACCTAATTTTATTCATGTTTGCCTAGTGATGGGGTATAGATCATTCAATAAAAACATACAGTAAAAGCAGGGGTGGGGGAGGCTTATCATGTACAATGTTTAAACTACAATAATGATGTACCTTAATTACTTTCATGCACACAAGTCTAACATTACAAGTTTTTTTTTAAAAAAACACAATTAAGACTTCTAGGAGCATTTTATAATAAATTCCTAATTTTTCTTTGTGGATAGATCAAGCACCATCAAAATACAGATTCCTATACACAGTGAGTACTTTACTTAATATACATGGACAGCCTCAGGGCAAGCTGACGTTATATCATCTTATAATAGGTCATCTTGCCCATTCTTAATAATGGGGAGCTGTTTAGTCTTATTGAAACTTGATATGCCATGTTTTATTGATATTTTCAGGAAACATGCTCTTTCCTGGATGGAGATGGAAGAGGGAGGGGATTTGGGAGTGGGAGTAGGGGAATGGGGAAGAAGGACTGGCAGGGGAGGATGGGGGAGGCTGCAGAGAGGTTGTAAAATGAATAAATGAAAAAAATTCTTTAGAGAGAGAGAGACAAAGAGAGATAGTGATATTTTAACAAATAACGCTTGTCTGAAGATCGGAGTGTAGAGCTAAGCCACTGGAGGCCAGGGAGTGGTGGCACACACCTTTAATTTCAGGACTCAGAAAATAGGCAGAGGGATTGATGATAACTCAAGGCCACTCTCGGCTACACAAGATTGAATCTGCCTAAAAGAGAAACAGCTCATGCCAAGATAATCCCAGCTCTTAAAATCACACACTTTTAATACCAGCATTAGGGAGATGAAGACAGGAATGATATGGCTGGGTGGGGAGAGGAATCTAAGGCTGAAGGAGACAGGAGCTTAGGGAAGTCTGAGGTTTGGTGGAGAAAGTTGCAGTCTGAGGTTTAGTGGAGACAGGTTCAGTCTGGAGATGCAGTCTAAGGACAGGATTGCCTCATTGGTAGAGGTAAAATAACTCTCCAGTGGCTGGACTCTCTACTTCTCTGATTTTTAGCATTAACCCCTATATTTGACTCTGGGCTTTTATTATTAATATCAAATAGAATTCAGGCAAAATCTGGCACCCAACTTTTGGGTTACAAGTCAGTATCTTTGAATACTTGGGACAGAATTGAAGAAGTAGAGAAAAAAAGATTCATTTACTAAAGTCATATAGGGCCCAAAAGAAACCATCACTGATTTCTTACAAATATTGACATCAGCAGTAACTAGAATGATAATAAATTCTAAAGCTGGAATAATAATAATTGAATCTCTGGTCTTTAAAAATGCTTATTGTCAAGGCAAAAGGATAATTAACGTTTTTAATGACAAGATCAGCACCCTTAGAAGAATGGATTTGAAATATAATTGGTATTAAATTTCATGACCATGATGATACTTGGCTAGGAGAGGTGATTTCCAGATATCTGAGGAAAAATTGAAATGTCAAGTGTTATAATTGTGGCAAACAAGGTAACTTTAAAAGAGACTGTAAACAGAGTGTTCCTAGAAACAATGTTTTTTTCTAAGCATAATTCAAACAAAACACCCGTCCCTTCCAGATTATGTAGAAGGTGTGGCAAAGACAGACATTGGACTAATGAATGTACATCAACAAAGGACATTCAAGGTAAACCTTTGCTATCAGGAAACTCCTTGAGGGGCCTACAAAAGGCCCTTATGCCAAATCTGGTTTAGCCATTTTCAGTCATCATGGAGGAAACTCCTCAGAGCAATTGAAGAATTAATGCCTATTGTAAGAAATCATTGTGCTCTGGATAATATAACAGCTATAAAAGAGAGAACAAAAAATTTTGGAAAAACCATAAAGTGGGTATTATGAACAAAGTCCTAAATTAAAAATATGAAATAATGACATTATCAATGATGTCTGGTAGACACAGTTGTGAATGCACCAGAATGTTGGCATCCAAATTGACCTCTTCAGGAGATAAATGTCTGGCTTTTAGGGAGTGAAACTTTATCGCAGGTAAAACAGAGCACAAGATGGGTCAAATATATAGGACTAGGAGGTCAGAGAGAAAATTAAAACCATATGTGGCTAATGTAGCAGTGAATTTATTACAGCAATGAAATACTCAGATTAACATTCCTTCAGTTTTAGGAACAAACCAAAAAATTATCATACATTACTGGGAAAAATATTAAAAGGTACTGAAAAGAATAGTCACCAATCATACAGGTTGTACAAGAACAGGGCACAACAGCTGCTTGTCTTTCAAAGGCACCAAGAGTCTTGCCTTTAAAATGATTAACAGAGACGTAAGCGGCGGGGACCGGCGAGGTGGCAGACGCACAAGGCGGGGACGGTCACACAATAACGAGAGCAGATCGCCCCACTACAATTAAATCAAAGAGGTAGGCCTTTTGTTGGCGAGGTCACTGGCAAACGGGGAGCATGGTCATGATTCTGAAGACCCTTCGGAGTGGTGACAGGGTTCTTGGCCTGCGGCAGGAACCAGGAAACAGAGCAAGGGCATTTGGTAAGAGGAACCCTTGGCCAGCAGGGAAACCTGATCCAGTTTTAAAAGACCCATTAGATAGGATCAATAGGAAGAGATGGGCAGGCCCCAAGGCAAGAATTCACCCAATAACCTGAAAAACAACATGAAAACACCAGAACACAATGATTTTACAACAGAAGTATTTGAACACCCTAACAGAGAAGAAGTGGAAAAAATTGACTTTATGAAAGCAATAGAGTCCCTTAAACAACCTGTAAAAAATGCCCTTATAGAATTGGATGAGAAGTATAACAAAAAGTTTGAAGAAATGAGTAAATACGTACATGATACCCTGGGAAACCAAGAAAAAACGATCAAACAGGTAATGGAAACAGTTCAACAATTAAAAACTGAAATGAAGGCAAGGAAGAAAACACAAACTGAGGACCACCTCGTTATGGAAAATCTAGGTCAACGAGCAGAGTCTACAGAAACAAGCATAATCAATAGAATACAAGAGATAGAAGAAAGAATCTCAGATTCTGAGGACACCATAGAGAAAATAAACGCACAGATCAAAGAAAACAGCAAAGCCAACAAATTATCAACAGAAAACATTCAGGAAATATGAGACACAATAAAAAGACCAAACCTAAGAATAATAGGAATAGAAGAAGGAGAAGAGTCACAACTCAAAGGCCCAGAAAATATTTTTAACAAAATTATGGAAGAAAATTTCCCAACCTAAAGAAAGATATTCATTTAAATATTCAAGAAGAATAGAGAACACCAAACAGACTGGATCAAAGAAAAACATCTCGCCATATAATAATCAAAACACAAAATATACAGGTTAAAGAAAGAATATTAAGAGCTGCAAAGGAAAAAGGGCAAGTAACTTATAAAGGTAAACCGATCAGACTTACACCTGACTTCTCTATGGAAACTATGAAAGCCAGAAGGTCCTGGATAGATGTACTGCAGAAACTAAGGGACCATGGATGCAAACCCAAACTACTATGCCCAGCCAAGCTATCATTCACTATCAATGGAGAAAACAAGACATTCCAGGATAAGAACAAATGTAAACAATACATAGCCACAAATCCAGCCCTACAGAAAGTAATAGAAGGAAAATCGCAACCCAAGGAATCCAACATTGCCAACACTGCCTACAATAACTCAGGCATCTAGCGACCCTTCACCAGCACATCTCAAAGAAGGGAGACACACAAACTCTACTATCAAAACCAATAAGAATAACCGGAGTAAACAACCACTGGTCATTAATATCACTTAATAGTAATAGGCTCAATTCACCTATAAAAAGGCACAGGCTAAGAGATTGGATACGAAAACAGGATCCAACAGTCTGCTGTTTGCAAGAAACACATCTCAACCACAAAGACAGACATCTACTCAGAGTAAAGAGTTGGGAAAAGGTGTTTCAAGCAAACGGTCCTAAGAAAAAAGCAGGTGTGGCCATACTAATTTCTAACAAAACTGACTTCAAACTAAAATCAATCAGAAGAGATCGAGATGGACACTTTATACTCATAACAGGAACAATTCATCAGGATGACGTCTCAATCCTGAATATCAACGCCCCTAACATAAAAGCACCCACTTATGTAAAAGAAATATTACTAGAACTCAAGGCAGACATCAAACCACACACACTAGTAGTAGGAGACTTCAATACACCTCTCTCTCCAAGGGACAGGTCAATCAGACAGAAACCTAATAGAGAATTAAGAGAATTATTGGAGGTAATGAAGCAAATGGACTTAACAGACATCTATAGAACATTCCATCCAATTAGGAAAGAATATACCTTCTTCTCTGCAGCTCATGGAACCTTCTCAAAAATTGATCACATACTC